GGGTTTAGGGTTTAGGGTTGTCCGTATCAGCTTTTCCTTTGATTCTTTCACTTTCTCTCCTAATCTAGTTTCTCTACTTCCAATACCTTCAAGAGACTCCTTACGTTACTGCAGATCAGCTGTTGATTTGTGTATGCCTTCCGCATTCCCAGACCCCCTACAGGATCCAAAAAAAGGAACCTCCCGATAATCCCTTAGTTTCCCCAATGTAGTAATGGGTTCATATTTGGGGGGGTTCCATTCTTTGGATCCTAAACCCTAAACCCCAAACCCTAATCCGTAAACCCTATATACCCCTGAATAGACCCGTATAAACCCCTTTAAGGGTTCCATCTTTTGGATCCATCAGGGGGGTTGGGTTCTCAGTTCACGTCACAGCCACTGTGCAGCATCCCTCCAGCTGTTTCCTCAGCTGGACACCCCAAGAGTTATATTGGGTTTAGGGTATAGGGTATAGGGTTTAGGGTTTAGGTTGAGTGTATAGGGTTTAGGGTTTAGGGTATAGGGGCTCTATAGGGAACACATAGGGTTTATGTTGCTTATTTAGGGAATATTTAGGGAATATGTTGTTTATATAGGGTACCCCAGCTGGAACCTTTCTGGGTTGTTGTGAAGGAACGAAAGGAAAGCTACCACAATGGGCATATATAGTAATAGTACTTGAAAGGGTAGTTTCCCCAATATAGTAAATAGTAGTTTCCATGTTCTTTTCCATTATCCCTATAACCCCAAGATATACCCTATGATCCCTTTGTAAGTAACCCCAGCCTATGGCTTTGTAGAAACGATATTCTTGACTAAATGGTTCTTGATTGTCCTACGTTTCTATATAGATGCATGACCTCATGACTGAGCCAGTGTACTCAAAATGTCAGCCCAAGCTCACTTTGCCAAGCAGTGAGACAGCTCATGTCACAATCCAGATCATGGCGAAACTAAACCCTAAACTGCCTGAAACCCTGAACCGGGCCGCTATGGACTCGCTGAACAGATCCTGACTGTTTTGCAGCTCCTTTCCCCCTAATATAACCTCCGCAATAATGAAAGTACCCTAAACCCTCAACCCTGAACCCTAAACCGTATCCCATTGGGGCTATTCATTAGAAGGGGTGGGGCGGAGGGCGTCTTATAGAGGGAGGGGATGATAAAGTCACTTTGAGGAGGGACCCCTAAGTCTGTAACGCTAAACCCTTTGACTACAAACCCTAAAACCCTAGACCCTTTTAACCCTAAACCCTAAAACTTTAAACCCTAAAGTTCTAAACCCTAAACCCTAAAGTTCTAAACCCTAAAACCCGAAAACCCGAAACCCTAAAGTTCTAAACTCGAAAACCTTAAACCCTAAACCCTAAAGTTCTAAACCCTAAAACCCCATGATTCCTGTATACCTATATAACCCATTATAGTAGCTTCTTAAATCCTGAACCTGAAGCCGTGTTGTTTTTGCAGACCACCCCAAGGCCCAGCAGCGACGATGGAAGCCAGGAGGCCGGTAGTAGTCCCCTTTAAGTAGATGTAGGTAGAATTTAGGGTTTAGGGTAGTAGGGTATTGGGGTTTAGGGTATTAGGGCTTAGGATTTAGGATTTAGGGTTTAGGATTTAGGGTATTAGGATTTAGGGTTTAGGGTATTAGTCCCATTTAAGTAGATAGCATATGGCGTTGGGTATATTGTAATTTTCATCCCCATGTACCCTATAAAATATCAGATATCTGCGTAAGCGGGACTGTACATGTTCGCAGCGGGATGTTTAAGAAGACAGGTTTCAGGATTTCCGGCTTAGTGGGTTCAGGGTAATCAAGAAATGTGGTTGTTTGTGTAAAACCCTAAACCCTAAACCCCAAAAACGCAGGTCTTATGGTCCCTTAGGGGTTAAGGGATTTCAGGTGGGGTCCTCAGGAGTGGACTTGTTTAGAGTCGTGGGTTCAGATCTACAGGGTCCTTTAATCCGAACTTGTCGGCTTCTGGAATCTCCGTAACGAGGTATAGTCCCCATTAGGGTTTAGGGTTTAGGGGTTTAGGGTTGCTTATAAGTAGAAAGAATATGGGGTGCATGGGGATTCTACTGTGATATTGAGCACTTCCGTATTCAGGGGGTTTATATATACATATATATGTATATATATATACATACATATATGCTGTAGCCAGTAAAGCTACACAAGTGTGTCAATTGACCTTGAGTGTATAGTTTTGGGCCGTGATCTTTTTGCAAGCGGCATCTCATGCGTTAGGTCTTTCTTCACAAGTCGTCGTCGTGAGAGATGGCGCCTATCAAGTGGCATATGCTCGGGATTTGCACAAGGTTTGCTCGCGCCACACCAATTGGTCCATCGTATCTTTGGTTCCAGTACGTACTTTGGAAGCAGAGCGAAGAAAGAACCAGACCCTGCATCATGGAATGCGCGCAGCCCACCTCAAACATGGAAGCTGGAATACAAGCCTTTCAAGAGATCAAAATTCTCAATCCGGCGACAATTGTACAAGCGCTTCATGACTGTCATCACATTCTGCCTGCATCGGTGCTTTGCATCTAGCCACTCGCCAAGGCACCCAGAATCCTAAACCCTAAACCCTGTGTAAGCCCTGTATCTCCCTAGGCCTCTTTTTGTGAAACTCCCATGTGAGAAAGATTCAGGAAAGCAAAGCCAAGCAGAAAGCTGATGATGACATGTGTCCCTTTAAGGGAGTACATTCCAGGGGCGAGTTGTATACGTATATATATATATATATGTGTTGTATGTAAAAACACACATATATATAGATATATACATATATACACATGCAAAACGGCCTCCTTTTGGGTGGCTACATGCTTTGGGGGTATGTATAAAAAAATGCCCACACGTATTCGAAATGGAATGCCGGGTTCGAACATGATTCTATCTCGGAAGACTACAAGCCCTTCTCGTTGCTGCCTAATCTTTCTCAAAAATATAAGAACACGCCCCGGGTGTCTGGGAGGAATCCTAAACCCCAAACCTTTTCTCAGGAATCTATCCTAAAACACTTGAACCTCCGGCCTGTGAGAGGTGTGGCGTGAGCTTGGAATCTTCGGATCTTCGGAGAAAGGAGCTTTGCAGCTGAAGGCTCGCAGATTTATGGTCTAGGGTTTTGAGCGTTTTAGAGTTTAGGGTTCAGGTTTTTAGCGTTTGCGGGCTTAGGGTTGAGGGTTTTTGGGCTTGGGGTTTTAGGATTTGGGGTGTAGCATCGGTCAGCTGGACGCATTCATTAGTATGCAAACATGCCCACGCCAATACCACCCAAACACTACTCACAGCAAGCCCAAACCAAATCCAGCCGAGCCGCAGCCAAGCCGAATCCCTTCCTATTTTCTGTTGTGGATATGCTCACTTCTCATACTCAGGCTTGGCAAGGAACAGCTATAGACCGGCACGCAGAACTGATTGTAAGAGTTCGGGCGCTGTCAAGCAAAGGGCATGTGTTGGATTGGGGTCGTCGCAAGACGCGTCTAACAAGCCTGGGAGTTGCGTTAGGGGGCGTTCTGGGCCGAAGGGCCCTCGGACATGTTCTCCCTGCCCTTTGTTGTCATGTGTCATGGCTACCCGCCGCAAGTTGTATGAAGCCTTGGCAGTGGTTTGGTCGGGAGGCGTTTAGTTCGGAAAGCTCGAAACCAGTTTGCGAGACACATCAGGCGTAGGGTTTGAAGTAGGAACATCCTGGATGGAAGGGATCTCGCATAGCTTCTTCCCGCGCCGGGTCACGCGCTGCCCACCATTTGTTCGACAACGCCTTGGCTGCGCCATTTCGCTACCTGTGTCACATTGGCTGCAGCATCAGGCAAATCTATGCACCCTGGCCTGACTACATCGGCATATGCGTCCAAGCACAACTTAGGGTTTGCGCTGAGGAACGTTCTGGGCCCCGGGCCCTATCATGATTTCTTGCCACTCCGGGTCCTGGGCGTTGCCCGCCACAAGTCATACGACACCTTGGTTGCAGTGTCTGTTTGCATGCCAGAAACGCTGAGAAAAGCCCGAAATCACAAAAGGCCCGAAAACGCCTTGGTTCGTCTGGGAGAGGTCCAAGAACGGCCCAAAGAAGTCAGAAATGGTTTGGAAGAGGCCCCGAAAATGTTCAGACACGCTCTACGAAAGATCCAAAAATGCATGGGTCTGGGAGAGGTCCGAAAACTCACAGAAACAGTTTGGCAAAAGGCCAAGAACATGGAGGCCCAAAAACTGAAAGCCTTCGGGTGGTTGGAGGGTCCCAACATCATGTCTCAGGGGCCCTGCTGGGCGACTTCAGCTTGGCGACGCTATCAAAGCTGCCGGTCAGCAGGCCTTGCAGCCCAGCAGAACTTGCAAGGTCTGGCAGCGCCCACATACCTACAGAAGGAGAGCTGTGGTCGGCGGGTTTGGGGTTTAAAGTCTTAAGGTTTTTGGGTTTAAGGTTTTCGCGCTCAGGGTTCCTGAGCTTTAGGGTGTTTAGGGCCTATGTAAGGTCTTAGGGTTTAGGGTTTAAGGCTTTACGGTTGTTGGGTTAAGAAATGAGGGCTCCAGGGGGAAGTCAATAAAACTCGAGTAAAAAATGTGTGCTCTCTTCACAGTATGCTTATGGTGTTCAGCTTGAGGGTTTTAGGTGAACTCAAAAAGCCTTGACTACAGGAATGTGTTTTCTTTCTAATAGGTCTCATCTTGTTGTTGGATGAATGAGCCTTGGAGCTTTCAATCACGCATTTCGGGGTGTTCCCATGGATTGCCATTATACTGCGCTCTTCCTCCTTCAGTGGAACAAATGCCCGCCATAACCCCCTTTTTGGTGTTGGAAATGCCTGAGCAAAAGGTATGGGCTGCTTGCAACATTCACAACGGTGACCGCACACAGGTCGTACTGGATGCGAGGGTATTTGAAGAACCGTTTGGAACCACTTACTTGGCAAAGGCCCTTCACAGGAGAAGGGGTGACGTGGCAGACTGGAGCTCATTTATCGGCACCATTAGTCTGCACAGAAGAGGTAGGCAACAGTGGCATTGAGTTCAATTGTGATCTCAACCGCACTGAATGGAAACAACGGCACAAAACGCCATAAAATCTGGGTTCGCATTTGGAATGGATGTTGGGCAAATTGCGTTTGCTGCGACTCAAATGAACACTTGTAGCTGTGTACTCACGAGGACGCTAGATTGGCAAATGGTTTTCAGTGTTGAAGGCCGCTTCTTCTGCCATTCAAAATCAGAATTGAAAGTCCCTACCCGGGCCCCCTAAATGACCTTGATCAAGGGATAATCTGGGGCGCAGCAAGGAGCCCTCCACCCCAAGCGCAGGGATTGGGAAGGTCATCAACAACAGGAAGAACATGGGGCTGTCGTTATTTGGAAAATTCTTTTCGCGTCTTGTTTATGACGTTACGCAGGCTTCCATGTTGTCAGGCCCAAGAGGTGATCAGAGATTACCCCATTGCTATATCATGGCCAACCATACGAGATCGCACGAGATCACCCAGAAGTTTACAACTCAAAGATAGAAACATGAGGCGGCAAGCGTACTGAACCAAGCGTTGACGATGCACTACGAGGTAGTCCTTGTAAATGAGGAAGCCATGAGTCAAATGGAGACGCCTGTTGTTTCTGGTTGGCAACCGACTGCTGAATTTGAAGCAACGTGCTGCAGGGCCATGCCACCGTGGGTGACGCGCTGGAGTCTGTTCGGGAGGCACGGGGCGTGGAACTTTCCATGAAATCGCTTAAACACTAGAAGAGTTAATTTACGATTGCACGTCCTCGCAGCCACAGTGTGATGCTTTGAGACATTGTATTTCTGGAGTCGTTTTGCCTCCTGCGCGGTTCATCGCCCTTTGATTTTCTGCTCTCTTTTTTCAAAAATCGGCATTCCAACTGCTTACGAGACCTTTGCTCAATGACCTATGTGAAGCTCCACAGCTGCGGAGTTCAAGCAGACTTTACTACAAGGTTCCTGAAAACACAATTTAATTTCTGTTACCAACAATCCTAATATTTAGCTGAAATTATAATTCTACTGGGGTTCCAAATCAATTATAATTCTACTGGGGTTCCAAATCCCTTAGAGCTTAAAGTTTCAACAACTTTCGGTTTTTTTTGTGATTGCTAGCGGTCTGTGCCAAGAGTTCTGGCCTGGGCGTGAGTAAGTGTAGTGAACAATACCCCGAAACCATGCAGACAGCTTACAGAAAATGACCATACTGAAAAGTTAGCAGGTTCTAGATCTTAAGCCAAATCATAGACTTGGGTTCCCAGGAGACCCGATTTTTCAACAGTTCGCATGTTCCAAGCCTGTAGTCCTGCACATTGTACACAACAGTCCACAGGAGGAAGGGTCTTGGGGAAGCCGTCCACGTGACAGCAACGAAATCAAATCACACGGCTTTACAGCCCTTTACAAACCTGCTGCACTGCTTCAGAAAAAGATGTTCGTTTGAAGGTAATCTGTGATGAGTCTCAGACGCCTGATCTGGAATTTGTTCGAAAGCCTGCAGGTCATGGAAACCTCTCACCTTTACAGGCGCTGAAAACATTGCCAGTAGTGATGCTTCATACTCCCTTTATAGATCCAAACAGGATCATTCTAATTGCAAAGGTTTTGACGCTGCCCTGCATATGCATATAACAAGGAGAGAGGCATCCCAAAGAACAGGGAGCTTGTGCTCCTGGGCTGCACGAAAAGCCGTAACTTTTCTGGATCATGTTGGACTCAGGGGTTAAGCATGTGTAATGTTTCGGAGGAGTTTCAAAATTCAAGCACCTACCTTACCAACTCGTATTTTGGTTCATGGGCTTCCTTGCCTGGGTTTCACTTGGATTGCAGGGCCCCTTGAAAAGGTCCTTGGCCTTCCCTAAGACTTCTGAGATTTGTTTGAAAATGCTTCGCAAGCTACATGGTTGAACATGTTGGGACCGGAGCCCAAATTGTTACAACTTGAATCTGTTTGTGTATTCTATCTACTTAATGGGGACACAACAACCAATAACCAATACTTAGTCCTTGACGACCCCGGGTTGATCTGGCCTGCTCCAGGGCTTTCAATGCAGGATGTACAGCGTAGCAGTCCACATGAGCTATAGTCTAAACTCCTTAAAGGGGGGTTATATAGGGGAGTGTATAAGGGACTACGAAAGGGATATTAAGGGGGATACGAGGAGTTTAGACTATAACCCCTACAATCCCCTGTATAATCCCAGTTTCCATTTCATTTTCCATGTTCTCTTCCATTTGATTCTCCATTATTACTATAGCTCAAGACTATTGCTCACATGAAGCCCAAAAACGCAGCATGCACCTAGCCTTGGTGGTTTAGGATGTTAGGGCTTTGGATTCAAGGAGTGGAACAAAAAGCCCAAACCCCGAGCATAAGATTGCCTAAGCTTTTACGCTCCAAACCCATATGATTTCATGAACGCGAGACTGTACCAAGTTGGAAACCATGTAAAGACTGCGCAGACAGAAGGCCTCGATGCAAGTCCTGGGGCTCCCGTGCGAACCCTTCAAGACAATGCCTGAATTTACATGGCATTGTTCCTGCTACATCGGGCGGGAAACGCAGCATCTACCGTGACATCCCGAGTCCGTACATGAAGCCTGCTTCAAGGTTATGATTGTTGCAAGGATGCCTCACCCGGAGATGAGCACACCCGAGTCCCCCATGAAGGCCACGTGCGATTTGCGGGTTTTCAGTCGCACGGGGCAAGCCCCCAAATAAACATCGGCAAGAAGACAACCACCGCCCCAGTAAATGACCAGCTGTGCCGGCAACTCCTCCTCGAATAAAATGCTCCCCAGAGGTACGGCTGAACAATCCGACCACCCAAAGAAAACGGAGATGCGAAGCACCTCCAAAATGCCACCACTATACAAGGGCCAAAGCCCAATCCACCCAAATGCCGGAGATGGAATGCACCCCCAGATGACCATCGCTATACAAAGGGCCGCAAGGGCCACCAAACCTGTACCAGGGACACGACGACCAGGATGCTCTGCATGAGGACGCCGAAGTCAAAGCCAAGCTACCACTAAAAGCTCGGATGAGCATTCCCCCATTCAAAGCGCAAGCAAGCGCTACCAAGCTCCTCAGTGACACGACGACCAGGATGCTCTGCACGACGACGCCGAAGTCAGATGTCAAGCTACCACTAAGAGCTCAGATGAGCAATCCCCCATTCAAAGCGCAAGGAAGCGCTAATGAAACTCCTCCTCTCACACGTAGCCGCCAGAGACATCGCCAAGCTACCCGAAAGCAGCCCAGCTCCCCGCACCAGCGACTGCACTACCCTGAAACCCCCAAGTAAGTGGCCTGGGTACAGCCACCGCTCCTAAGGAGCTCCCTAGGCACAGGCCACCACGACACCTGTGCTTACGACGTAGGTAACGCCGTCCGGGGTGATTTGTAAGCAGGTCGATTCCCGCCACATAACACGGCTAGCCGCACCCAATGGCGGCCTCAAACGTCGTGTCAGTGGCCCCTCCCCGGATTCAAGGTTCAGACGTTGGAATCTAGACTCTGCAAAGTCAGAGCATGGCTGAAGGCGACCCAAATTTCTATCGCATGCGGCCTGTAATCTAGACTCCTTGCAGGGGGGGATGCTGACATCAACTGGAATGTAGTTCAAGAACTAAAACTAAGTTAACACTGGAAGGAAACCATATTACTCTCTTTATGTTCCACATGATGGTGAATCAGTTTAAGTTCCCTACAGCCCTGCATAACCCAATATGACCCCACTGTCCTTAATTGTCCACTTGCTCTACCATTTGCTTCTCCATCATGGTTTCCTTAAACCGCCTACAACTTTTTGTGTTTGCTGGCCCAGGGGTCTTCCTCAAGTTGAAAAAATAGAGTGGCTTACAGCGCGGTTCCAAGGAGTTTACAAGTCTCCTTCTTAGACTTAGGGCCTTAAGGTGCGTCTGTTTACAGTCCCCTGTGAACCCTACTTTCCAAGTCCTCTGCAACTTTAGCTACAGTCTAAACTCCTTAAGGGGGTTATGTAGGGGATTGTATAGGGGGTTACTATAGGGGTTACTAAGGGGAATACTCGGAATTTAGACTGTAACCCCTGTAAACCTCATTATAGTAGTTTCCATTTTCTTTTCTATTGTCCTTAAAAAATCCCTAAACCCTTAACCCTAAACCCTCACTTCAAGTAAGGCTCGTCCTCATGCCTAGTGGTGAGGTGCTGGATGTCGCTTGGCCTTGAGCGGCTTCAGCAGGTTATATAGGGATACAGGGTTTAGGGTTTAGGGGATATGTTAGGATAATGGAAAAGAAAATGGAAACTACCATAATCTCAAGTTTTGCTAGTAGTTACACGAGAATTATCAGACTGGACAGCCCCAAATGTCTATCTTTTTTCTGGACCTGCCCGCATACATACATATAAGCATACATGTATATACACTTATTTCGATGTGACATCTGTATATCTACATGCACAAGCCTATGGTCTGTAGTATGCGTTGGGTCGGGGAGGGTAGGTTGTGAGCGTGCATGAGAGTACAGTGTACACCGTGAGGTGGTTGGCGAAGGTGTAGGTCTCTGTGGTCATTTGGAAGTTGTTGCAAAACTTGTGATTATGGCAGTTTCCTTTTTCTTTTCCATTACCCCAATGTACCCCCTAAACCCTAAACCCTGTATCCCTATATAACCCCCATATAACTCCTATAGAACCCCTACATCCCTGTATAATGTTGGTCCGTGAGGGACCGCAAGAATGACGATGTATAGGCCCCAGTAGTCTCTTGATGGACGACGATGCTGAGCCCAAGTCTGCAGCCGGTGCTGGCAGCTGGCGAGAGCTGACGACGGCCCTATGTGTCCTTATATACCCCTATATAACCCCTATATAACCCCTATACAACCCCAATACAACCCTACATCCCCTTTAAAGGTACCCCTAACTTTGGGTCCCCTAGGGAATTTTTTCCCAATCCAACCGTTGGCCGATCATCCCTTCTGCCCTGAGGGAAGGCGTAGCTCTGAGTCAAAAAAACCAACTCAAAGCGCACCATAGAAAATTGAAACTACTATTTAGCTTAGGGGTTTAGGGTTTAGGGTGTTTACTGGCCTTTGGTTAGCTGGGAATGAAGAAATGGAAAGAAAATGGAAGCTACTATCATGGGTTATATAGGGACTACTTTAAGGATCCGTTCCTGGATTCGCAGCTAACCAGGGCCAGTTGAGCCAAACACCCCACCACAACGCACCGCCCCAAAGCGCGCCTTTAAGCCAAACACCCTGCCCAAAAACGCGCCTTTAAGCCAAAACATTTCACCCCAAAGCACACCCCAAGCCAAACACCCCCCGAAGCACACCTTCAGGCATTCACGCGTAGGCCGATAATCCTGTTTGTGCCAGGGGAAAGCACACTTCTAAGCCAAAGGCCATGCCCCAAAGCGCACCGCAAAGCTATGTGGTGGTTCTCGCAAACCCCATTTCCCGGCTGGAAAAGGGGGGGCTCCCAAACCCCTGCAAAATCATCAAGTTTAGGCTAAGCGGCCACATCTCAGACAAACCTGCCATTTTTCCGCCCGAGGATGTGGGTTTTGAGCCCGAAGAGGGACCTTGCCCCATGAGCTGACAGAAAAGTAATTCTCAAGCCCCCTTGCTTGCGGCAAGAACGGCGGGGGTGAGGGGTTGGGAATTAGCCACTGTGCACGTGCGTAAGCTTCAAAGAGACAAACAACGACAGCTTCACAGGGAAGGCTTGTGAACCTATCGTTTGCTGAAAGAGTCCAAGACAATTCTGAAGCCATTGAAGTAATCCTCGGCAGCGGCTAAAGCAGTCTTTGACGGGCCACCGTCACCCCGGGCACAAAGCGCCAGACTAGGTATTGGTTAAAGGTAATTCTATCTACGGGCTAAGGTTCTTGCCTATGTCCTGGCGGTAACTTCTAACAATGAAACGATGCTGCAAATCAATCTTGCCAGGCTTGAATTGAATGAGCTTTCTAGGGTCTTCATGCAGGCTAGGTCAGTTGATGTACAGGAACAACTAGACTGAACAGAACATATCAGGGCAGATTTGTAGGGGTAACATAATTCCAGAAAAATCAACGCTCAAATGAGTTATCTTTCTTATCACGCCGTTGTAGACGTCAATTACAAGCACAATCAGCTTCCCAAAGGCCTTGACAAATTTGTCAGAAACACCCTAAACCCTAAACCCCTAAACCCTAAACCCCTAAACCCTAAACCCCTAAACCGCGTTTGCGGCTTAAGAATTCCAGAGCTTGCGGCGCGCTTCTTTGCATGTATTTTTCAAAATTAGGGTCCTTTAAAGGAGGGGTTATATAGGGGTTATAGGGTTAAAGGGTTATATAGGGTTTAGGGTTTAGGGTTTCCAAAATTAGGGGTACCATTTTGGGGGTCCCTTTAATAAGGGCTATGGTATTTGGGGGTCTATATTGGGGTCCCCTGATTTTGAGAAGTTCTTGTTTATGCGGTCAGTTGAATTAGCCACGAGACCCTTTTTTGCGGTGTAGACTTCAACATTAGGTTGATGAGGATGAGCCCCTAATGAAGATGAGATGAGTTCATAGTCATTCATATACTAGTTACTCCGATTAGTATGGGTTCTCTCAATGATTCAGGATGGCCGTGTGTTGCACGACACTTCGGCAGAACAATGTTTTCATCCATCCTAACTCGTCGTTCACGTTCAGTGCTTTCATTGTGCAGATTTCAGGGTGCATGCTTTACAAGTCAACCGAGGCATAAACATTTGCTGGTCCGGAACACTATCTCAGGAGGACTGGGGCGTTCGCCCTACGTCACTTCGAACCCTATTTAGTCGAATCACCTGCCCCTCCAAGCACGCAAGTCAAACGCGGGCTATCTGAGGAAGAGCGCCGGATTGCCTTGCTGCCTACAGATGAAGAGCTGACTCTGATCTTGTAGAAGGATTTAGGGTTCAGAGTTTAGGGTTTTAGGTGCACGCTGCCCCTGAACAACCATGGGGGCATTCTGTCTCGGGGACACAAGTTCCCCTTGCGGAGGGTCGGGCCGCTTGCAACCCCAGGGGTAATATGCCTAGAAGTCTTCTTGCACGCTTGCAACGTGGGCTTGGGGTTTCCATACGCAGGCGGTAAGTAGGGGCAATATACAATAAGGTACAGGCGGCGCTTGTGACTTCTCCTGGGTCGCTTGTGGTTTCTTGGTCGTCCTGAAATGCAGCACCCTCGTCATTTTTGGACCCCGACCCTCCAACTCGCGTGCGTGTGCCCCTGTAAAATGCACAGTTGCTGTCGTTCTCGGAGCTGTGATTCTTTGGCCCTAGACAGTTGCATGCTTGCATTTCTCGTAAAACGCAAAACTTCGTCGAGCTGTGACTCTTCCACTCTTGACAGGTGCATGCATGTGTCTGCTCCTCGTAAAATTAAGACTTGCTATTCTTTTCGGAGCTGCCTTTGTAGGGGCTCGACCTGGAAGCCGCAAAATCCCTGAACCCCCACCTTAAATCGTCGCCCCTAGCCATAAGGGTACTGGGGTTTGGAGTTATGATTTGTGTGCACAGTTTAGGGGTAAGGGCCAGGGGTTCAGGGATTGGGTTTTGGTTCAGGATTGCTGCTGTCAGGGTCTAGGGTTTATTGCTAGAGTTTTGGAAGTGGACTGGGGTTGGCAGGCTTAACCCTGGACCCTAAACCGCAAACCCCAACCCTAGACTGAACCTTAACCGCAACAACCCTAAACCTTAGCCCTAAAAGAAGTTCGTCCATCATCTCTCGATGCGTCCGCGCTCCGCGTTCTCGGGATTAACCTTCCAGAAAACTCTCTAACCTTTTGCAAACCGTCTATAACAGCTATAACCTGTGTCTGTAAACCTTCTATAAAAAGGTACTAAAAACTTCTATAAACCTTCTAGAGACAGTCTATGACCATAAGATCTGTATGAAGCTCTATCGAACCTTCAGAAACCCGCTAGAAGCCCCTTCAGAAAATCTCTTGAGACCTGTAAACACGTGCTATTGAATTAATGAACTGTCTGCAAACCTTCTCTGAACCTTATAGAACCCCCCTTAAAACGCTGTAAGTCTCTATAAACTCTGTCTAAACCTCTCAATTGCACTACCGAACCCAGACCACAGGACCACAGGACCACAGCGGGTGGGGAGGGGTAGGTTCATCATATTCTATATCATGGGGGGAGGGGGGGGGGGAATGCTTTTATCCCTAAACGTTTAACCATGCCCTGAACCTTAGAATTGGACCGTATACATACAATCTGACCCTGACCATGAACCTAAACTCCTCAGAACGTCCTAAGCCAAGCCTGCTTTTAGGCAAAATATGGCACTTTCCCAAAATAAGAGGACCCCAATATAGACCCTAAAATAGTACAGTCCTTAAGATAGGGACCCCCAGAAGGGTACTCCTAATGTTGGGAAACCCCATATTCATGCATAGATTTCCCGGAAAAGCGGGAAGGCGTGCTCCATCTGCAACACCTGAAGCCGAAGACCCTCACCCTAAATCGTTGAAGCCTTAGCCCCCAGTCCTAAAAACTGCGAACATGGGCCCATAAAATCGAAAAAATGGCTTCCACCTGAAAGCCGAAAAAGCCCCAAACACCTGCCCCCAAATCGTTGAGACCATAGCCCGAGGCCTTACAACCCAGTCCAACCCTTAAAACCTAGCCCTACAAACCTTGAACCCTGACCGCAATGACCCTAAACACTAACCCTCAAAAACCTTGGTCCATGCCACTTTAACCCTAGACCCTACAAACTTAAAGCCTTAACCCCAAACATTATATCCAAATCCCAAACCCCACAACAAGCTTGAACCCTAGCTCTAGAATCTAGAAGGCTTCCTTCCATTTTCCCTGCAATCAACCTAAAGATTTTGACCCATGAATCCCCTGATCCCAAACCCCAAATGCCAGCATGTCCGCAAAACATCGCAGGGTTTTTGGCACCTTTTGGTTTGTGACCTGCGCCCGCCGCACGATGAAGTGTACATCGCAAAGATAGGTTTCATACTGTTGTCAGCCTACTTCAGGTTGCGTGCAGGACCGTAGGATGCAGACACCATGCGCGAGATGTGCGCATGGCTCCCTGAGTTAGACGAGCTAGGTAGAAACCTTGACTCTTAAGGCATGGAGCTGTCAGAGGCGATGTTGCAGCACGTCATAGTTGAGTTCCCACCAATTTCTGATGTGTCGGAAGAACCCAAATCGCAGCGTATGTGCTTGATAAAGATGTTCTGGCAGATATAGGTATCATTTTGCAGTGCGGCGGTCTCATTCATCATTGCTCTTTGCGTGGAGGTCTGTTTGAAGAGCCTTGCGATGGTGTTGTGAGGAACGCAGCCTTTTCAGCAGTCGGCCATGGGCCTGAGCCTTGAACCTTAAACCTCAACTATTATTACTATTATTACTAGTATTACTATTATTACTATTATTACTGTAAGTCAAGCCATGGCTTTGTGGCTCGCATGCTTCCTTCCCGTGTTGGCCGTCGGAGATGTGGGAGCTTCCAAAAGTTTGAACTGGATGGCTGTAGGGTTTGGGTACAACAGGTAGAGTTTAGGCCTAAGGCTTGGCATCTAGGGCATGGGTTTAGGGTTTAGGGTTTAGGGTTAGGTTTGAAATTCAGGGTTCAAGGTTTGGGGTTAAAGAGTTGGCTTTCTGGTCGAGGGCTGAAGTGTTGGGGTTGAGGGCCTACAGTTCGGGATTCAAAGCTTGAGGTTTGGGCTTAAGGGTTGCGTTTCAAGATGCGGGGGCCTCGGATAGACCTCAAGCTCTGAAAGGGAGCTTGGCCTACAGAAATCTGAGGGTGACCTTCCACAGGGTTGGGTCGCACAGCCGGCAAAATAAACGAACAAGGACCCAGAACCAAACCGGTCGTCCTTTCCGACTAGGAGCTTTACTTCTTATACCACGGGTCGGAGCGCACCTTCAAGATCGCTTATGAGGTTAATGCTAAACAAACACTAAATTCAAACCCAAAACCTACATGCTAAACCCTAACGCCTAAACCCTAAACCCTACACTCTAAATCCTCAACACGAAGTCTGAATCCTCAGCCATGAGGCAGACATCTTCCGTTTCTCGCCTTTCTGCTCTTCTTCGGATGCCAACTCATGCACAGGTCGACAGCAAACCCTCGCTTGGTATTTCCACGCAGGCGATCCGCTTTTCGACAGCCCCAGGTTTCGGGGCTATCCCCCGGATTATACATACTTCTATGCATACAACGAGATGGAAAGATTCAAGCACTTGGCAGATTTGGATCAAGATGGCTCCTGGGCTGTTAAGTACCATCGTCTTTTCTTGCTGCCTGGAATCTAGGCAGATGAAAGCCAGCAATCTCATCGTGACAGTATCTTCGCAACTATGGCATACCCCATAAGTTTAGTTCGAGTCTCAGCATCCCATACTCCATGGGTTTGTGAGGGCCCTAAACCAGAAACCCACAGACTTGGTGGCTCCCTGAGAAAATCTAAATGGTGGATCCGAGAAGTGGTATGTATGGGCTTGTAGGTTCAGGGTTTAGGGGTTTAGGGTTTAAAGGTTTACGGTATGCGGTCCCAACATAAATGACTCAGCAACATGAATCAACCTGTACAAGACGACGCGAACCTAAGCGGACGCAATTCAAAAGGCAGGCCTACCCTGTGTCTGCACCCAACTTCCACCTCAAGGTCAGGATTCCTGGGAGGTAGTCGAGGGTAGGTTCAGGGTAGGGTTTAGTGGGTATCCCATACACATGGGGCTTTCCCAAAATTAGGGGTACCTTTTTGGGGGTCCCCATAATAAGGACTATAGTATTTTGGGGTCTATATTAAGGTCCCCGTAATTTGGGAAATTACCACATCAAACCACCCAACTGACACATCTTTTGCATCGCGCCACTCCCGAGCGAGCATGGGGCATGCAGTAATTTCTAGGCAGATATCTAGGAGCTGCCCTTGACGGCACAAGGCAAAGACTGGCAACACGCCGTCATGGCTGCCTAGTCCGGCCTCTTAAGGCCAAACAGCCCGATTTGGGCAAAGGCTTCAGCTGTAAACAGGACGACGATGTGGAAAAGACAAAAGACAGGCCAAGCCTGAAAGGAGTTGGTCAACAGCATCGTAGGGTAAGGCTAGCTATACAGGTTGCGCGATGCAACATCTCTGCAGGAGTCATAAGTTGATGAACAGCTCTATACAGAACACAGGTGTGCAGCATGTAGCAGTGGGAAATGTTCATCAAGTGAGTTGAGAGCTATGCTTCTTGAACGCTGCGCGTGCGCTGTCTCGCCCCCTCATCGATCCAAGCCCCGGAATGCACACTATCGATCAGGGCATTGGTGCCAGGGGGTTTGGTGGGTCCCAGAACCCCAACCGCCCTAAACCCTAAACACCTAGGTTTAGCAGATCCCTGAAAACAACCCTGAACCCCTACATTTGGTCAATCCTTGAAAAACAAAACCCACAAAAACAAACCCCACGCCCCCCTAGGTTTGGTGGATCTTCTGTACATCGATCCCTCAGTCGGAAACATTACATTCTCGAAGCGCATGAAGAACCACAGTCTGGCTGCAGCTTCTAGATGAGACCTAGAACGCTAAACCTTAAACCCTTTTAGGGTTTAGGGTTCAACCCTAAACCCTAAACCCCAAACCCTAGATAGGGTTTTAGGGTTCAAGGCTTTTGGATGGGCTGGGACTATGAGACGGGTAGGGGACGTCGAGTCACCTCCCCCTGATGTCAAAACCCCCCTCGCCCCAACTAGTATCAAACATGCCTAATTATCTGAAGGGGGTTCCCAAAAAAATGGGGGTCCCAATCATGAGGACCATAGTATTTTAGGATCTAAATTGGGGTCCCCCTCTATAGAGAAACTACCATCTCATGGCGGTTAAAGTGGTTGTTTAATGTTTGGAGAGGTCTTAATAGGACTTTCCGTGCCATCC